TGTCATTACTATTAATTGCTTCTACAACTACCATCCTCATCATTATCACAACACCATTATTAGCATTACTATCATGATCATTAAATCTTCACCATCATCATCAACATGAATATTAAATCTTTACCATCATCATCATAATTAAATCTTTACCATCGTCATCATCATAATTAAATCTTCACCATCAACAACAATATTAAATCTTTACCATCATCATCATCATCATAATTAAATCTTCACCGTCATAATAATCAAATCTTCACCATCATCATCATCATAATTAAATCTTTACCATCATCATCATCATCATTAAATCTTCACCATCATCATCATTATAATTAAATCTTCCCCATCATCATCATCATCATAATTAAATCTTTCCCATCATCATCATCATCATAATTAAATCTTCACCATCATCATCAATATTAAATCTTTACCATCAACATCATCATAATTAAATCTTCCCCATCATCATCATCAGCATAATTAAATCTTCCCCATCATCATCATCAGCATAATTAAATCTTCCCCATCATCATCATCAGCATAATTAAATCTTCACCATCATCATCATCATCATAATTAAATCTTCACCATCATCATCATCAGCATAATTAAATCTTCACCATCATCATCATCAGCATAATTAAATCTTCCCCACTATCAGCATAATTAAATCTTCCCCACCATCATCATAATTAAATCGTCCCCACCATCATCATAATTAAATCTTCACCATCATCATCAATATTAAATCTTTACCATCATCATCATAATTAAATCTTCCCCACCATCATCATAATTAAATCTTCCCCATCATCATCAATATTAAATCTTTACCATCAACATCATCATAATTAAATCTTCACCATCATCTTCTTCTTTTGTCAAAATCTGCTTGTGCCGCTAGGCGTCGCAGTCTATCAGATGATCGGCAACCGAGCCAGGGCGCGCTCAGTCGCTTCATATGCTGTGATGTTATGAAGTCTCAAGTTCTCCGTGACTCCTTCAATCCATATTCTTCTTGGTCTTCCCCTGCCTCTTGGTGTTTCGATTTTCATGTTGTATGCTCCAGATGCTGGCATCGTTGGTTCCATTCTCATTAGGTGACCAAACCATTTCATTCTTTGCTTCTCAATAAATTTAACGATGGGTATGGTTCCAATAGTTCTTGTAATCACATCGTTTCTCACTCGATCTCTTCTGGTTTTATTCGCAGCCATTCTCAAACATCTCATTTCACAGGTGGTTAGTCTTCTCTCGTGTTCTTTTGTTAATGTCCAAGTCTGACATTGATAACCTAAGAATCTTCACCATCATCATCATCATCATCATCATTATCATTAAATCTTCATCATCATCATCAATATTAAATATTTACCATCATCATAATTAAATCTTCACCAACATCCTCATTAAATCTTTACTATCATCATCATCATTATGATCATCATTAAATTGTCTTCATCATCATCATCTTTAATAATCGCCTCACTTAGGCTAATCGTGATTTCATTCCACATTCCTGACATTGTTGTTGTTCTCTGTAACTTTATTTATGTTTGTACTGGCAGATCTGTGCATGCCTTTAGATATATACTGTTTATAGTATATCCCATGTCGGCTCTGTGGCTAAGTCGATGCGAACGCTTCGTAATGTCGGGGTGCCGGGTTCGATCCCAGCTGCAGGCCATTTGCCTTGTGTTGGTTTCTACAGCGGTATCAAGAAAGCCGACCGTCCAGGAAGCAATGGCAAACTACTGGACGTAAATTTGCCTAGAAAAACCACGCAACAGCCAGGGCCTGATGGGGTTGGTTCTGCAACGACCTGTAAAGGATACGCAACTAACCTAGTTTATCCCATAGTTTCCAACGTAGTCGCTAATGCACCATAGGAAGGAATGAAAAAAAGGGGGCCGGGGGGGGGGGGGGTGAAATATTTCGCCGGAGCTGGGGGCCGTTAGTAGTTAGAAGGGGGATAAAGGGAGCTGGGTTGGTCTAGATTGGGGGGGGGGGCGGAGAAGGGAGGGGGAGTCGCCTTTGATTTAATGGAAAGTGAAAAATACAATTAAAGAATCTGTAGAATAAAAGAAAATAACATTAATTGTGTGTGTGTGTGTGTGTGTGTGTGTGTGTGTATGTGTGTGTGTGTGAAAAACGCGTTGAAATTTCATTTTTGGTTGTTATATAACAAGAGCAAAGTCCGCAGTCATTTCCTTTTTTTTTTTCTAAATAAACTCACAACAAAAAAGTTATACATGTCTTGTGTTTTGGTTCCTACTTGTAAATCTGAATCCCCTAAAAAGGACCTAATCGGGGATGGTGAGCAATATATTTTGGGGACCAGTGGCCTATCCCTTGCTCGTTCTGAAATGTGCATTTCCCCCTTAAAGGTTTCATCACCTCTCTGAGGGCGTCACCAGATAACAGCCAGAGAAGCTGCGCCTGCCGATTACTGCACCAAGTCTTCTTCACTGTTTTTTTTTTTTTTTTCAGAAGTTGTTCATTTATTACTTTTTCAAATTCAGTTGGTTCTGCAAAGTTCTGTAGGGGAAAAACAATTAACTATACATACACACACACACACACACACACACACACACATATATATATATATATATATATATATATATATATATATATATATATATATATATATATATTCATATATACAGCACTGGAAAATATACATATATATAATATGAATAACTTAGTTAGGTATCCTTTACAGACCTTGCAGAACAAACCCAAGCATTTTTGTGACTGTTGTGGTTGCTCTTGGCAAATGTTACGTTCAGTGGTTTGACATTGCCTACTAAACGGTCAGCTCTCGGTACCACTAGAGAAACCAGCGCAAGACAAATCGTCCGCCTACTCTGTGTGTGTGGGTGTGTGTGCCTATATATATATATATAGTTGTGTGCGTGCCCCTAAATATAGCCGGGCCTGAAATATGGCCCAACTAGTGAACGGTGTTTCCGGGACCTCTCCACAGGTGATCCTCATCCGCATGGTGGCACTTTGTGTCATCTGGTGTTTATCGCTTCTTTGAAGTCCTGAATCAACTTACATGCATATTTACATTTCACTCTGGCGGTCTTCAGTGCGTCTCATTTCTCTGTTTTTCTTTTCGTTGTTTACATTTGGGAGCAAATGTGGTGCAGCGGCTAGACCCCTGCCTGCGGATCGGAAGGTCATGAGTTCAAGTCTTGACGAAGCAGGACGTTTCTCCCACAATGACCTTGGCTCCAAGATCAACCCAGTCTTTTAAGGGTACCAGATTCAGTCTTGGGAAATCAAGGCGGCTAGTGTGATGTTTTCCACATCACCCACCGAGTGTTGCTTGGTCTCTACGATATAGGTCTAGCCCTTAATGAGCCTAAGGAGTGGGAAAAGTTCCTTTTTTTTTTTGCGTATTGTTTATCTTTGTGCCTGTTAACATATCTGTGTGTCCTTGCACTTGTCTTTCTCTTTCTCTGTCTGTTCCTCTTCTGTTTTTCTGTTCCTTTGTATTTTTTTTTTTAAAGTTCCGGTCGACCTGTATGCATATACTTCTCCTTGTCTATTTATGTATGATTTTCCCAATTTCTCCAACCATCAATTACCATGCATTATATTATATATATATATATATATATATATATATATATATATATATATATATATATATGTGTGTGTGTGTGTGTGTGTGTGTGTGTGTGTGTGTGTGTGTGTGTGTTGTAAATTATTCCACGTTTTTTTCCATCGCCATATTTTAATTTCTCCGACTTACAGTCTGCACCCACTTCCTTAGCTAATCAACCCATTTCCGCCATCTTTCTTTGCAAAACGTGAAACAGGAGCGGAGATAAGGAGACGAAATATAAAATCTGCTGTCACACTCCAGGGGTGGAGATAGCTCGTCCATTCCTACATTTTGTTTTTCATTGATTAAACTTGTTATCACCTCCGCACAGGGAACGCAGTCGCCGCCGCTGCTCGCCTATAGAACCACGGTAAATACCCGGTACTCCCCGGGGAGCCTGAAACTTAAGACCGCGAGGGAAGGAAAGAGACAGATATTCCCTATATTAAATTTCAGTCGTGGACGGGGGGAGAAAGGGACGGACGAGAGATAGTGGCACTGAGAAAGCTAATATTGTGCAATTTTAAAGTGGAGATAAATGGTGTTTTACACCGGGTTACTTCTTGACCTAGGAACTCTTCCGAAATTCGCAGACAACCTGGGCGGGGAATAGGCAGTCGTAGATATCTGTTAATTATGTCTTATAAGACAGTAGACGCGGATGACATGCAGGAGCGGTAAATATCAGGTTTATAATGGGGGAAGTTGAAGCATCCGGCTAACTCTCATTCTCTCTATGTGTTTTACACACTCTTTTTATCTCTCTAGCTCTCTCTCTCTGTTTCTCTCTCTCTCTCTTTCTCTCTCTCTCTCTCTCTCTTTTTTTTTTCTCGTTCTCTATGTCTCTCTCCTCGAGTTCAATAGACAATGGGGATCAGCTGCCAGCCAAGGACCAGACCAGCCTGCCATAACATAAAATAGGTTTTCAAGTTGCATTTCCTCTTGAAAAAAAACTACTAATAACATTCCTAAAACTATTACTAAGACTACTACTACAGTTGCTTTCCGCTTGACCATAATATTGTGTTATGGCGAGGCATGCTAACGTGTGCAGTATTAGACTAAGCCCGTGACTACTACTACTACAAACAGGCTGCAGACTACTGCTACTACTACTAAAAAATACTACTACTACTACTACTACTACTACTACTACTACTACTACTACTACTACTACTACTACTACTACTACTACTACTACTACTACTATTACTACTACTACTACTGCTGCTGCTGCTGCTAATACTACTACTATTATTACTACTACTACTACTACTAATACTAATAATACTACTAATACTACTACTGCTAGCCCTGATTAACAACAATATTTAACATATACCTACAATTAATCGACAATAATTGATTATTTCAGATGCCATGGAGGAAGGCTGGGACTTCACCAAACTGAACGACGAGGAATACGAGGAGTTTTGTGTCTACATTGTCCAGGACAGGCAGTGCGAGGATGTGTGCCACAATCGCGCTCAGGCATCTTTACCACGAAACCTCACTCTGAGGCCGTCCCTCATTAACACAGACGTGAGTAGGCCTCTGTCATCATTCTCATCATCATTGTCTGGTTGTTGTTGTAGTAGTGGTACATTTTAACGCACTAGGACATCACACCAGCGATATACACCCGATGACACAAAGTGACATCATGCGGATGAGGATCACCCGTGGAGAGGTCTCGGGAACCGCTTTCAGCCATTAGACCATATTTTGCGGCCCCTGGCAAGAGCCAGGGTGGGGCTTGAAAATAAAGAACAATTGCATCCCAGAGGGGGATGAGGATTATTATGTGTGTCCGGTTGTGGCCTCATATTTCCCCTATGGCTAGCAGTTTAGTCAATCTTTCCGCGGTAAACTGTGCAATCTTTTCAACGTCATTGATAGAATTCAGTCTACCACCTTTGGCCTCTCTCATCAACTTTCATTTTACGGTGGTTTCTTTTGGACATTCTGGCTTCCCTAATACTTTTGTTTCTCATTTAAGTGTCAGGTCTGCTGGCTTCTTCTCACGATGTGTCCAATATAGCGCTATCTTCTTTGTATTATAACTGTTGGTACCAGTGGTTGCCAAGACTTTTCTTGTATTTCTTCACTCGTCCTAAATCACCACATTTTATGAGTAAGCCTGTGTGCTTTTGTGTTCTCTCTTTTAATTCTTTCTGAGTTAACATCGAGAGGACTAGCACGTACAAGTGAAAAAATCCCTTTCCAGTGGGTACATCGAGAGGATAGACACAGATTTCCTTAGCCAAGAGCAAACGCCATAAACAGTAACAAAAACTAAAGGATTCTATTTTTAATTATTGCCAATGAATACATTGTCTGTTTACTTATTATATATAAATATGTATATATGTATACACAGACACACAATATATATATATATATGTATACATATATATATATATATATATATATATATATATATATATATATATATATATATATATATATATATATATATATATATGTAGTTAATTTGTTGCATGAAAAAATACAAACAAATCAGTTGTAGAACTGAGTATGCGAAAAAAAAAAATTAAAACAAAATAGGCAACGCGTTAAAACAACATTAAAACCTTGTTAAACGCACATTAAACAGAAATGCTCCGAACAAAGCATCTAATGGGTATCAAATATATAAACGTACAGACAATATAAATATACGGTAAAACTTCTCCTAACCGTCACCGTCCGAAGCAGGTCTATGGCAGATAACCGAAAAGAGGGATTAAAAAAAATATCGTAATAGAGTAACGTGATTTCACTGTGGGCTTGGGACGAAAATTACAAATAAAATCCTTTAAAAGTGAATCCTAATTACGCGTCAATACAAGAGTAGTAATGTACAGAAATATATTGTAATGCTATATATAAACCTATGTTGCTTTAAAATACGTTCGAGCTTTCTGCGCGGCGATTTTCTCAGTCCTACGCAACAGTATGATCTGTGTTGCTTTTGTCCACTCGTGCATATCAAACCAGTCGATGCACTTTGATAACATTGTTTCTGTTCCTGAGTGGCTTGTTGTAGGTTTCTGGTTATGAACTGATCCTTCATTGCCATATCTATTTTTAAGTCGATGACGGATGACAGAAACTGACAGATGAGTGGCGGCTAATCGAAATTCTAACGTAGTAGGCTCCAATACTACGAATGAGCCCAGAACATGTTTCAAAATAGACATACACCCATAGCTGCAGAGGCGATATAAGACAAGGAGCAGCGAGGAAGATTAGAATGTACAGTAGTCTTAACATCATTATGGGCCGTTGTGCAAACCAGTGAGCTGGGGCCCTGGGTAAACCAGTGAGCTGGGGCCCCTGTGCAAACCAGTGAGCTGGGGCTCCTGGGTAAACCAGTCAGCTCGGGCGCCTTCGACAACCACTCACAGAGTCCCATTCCTATTTTTGGCAAGTCACTTAACATTCGTAGATTAGCAAAGGAGCCTCTACTTGTGGGGCCTCATGACAATCATCTAGCGAGCCCATGCGTTAAGATGGCTTTTTAAGGAAGAAATCTTCTTATATGCGTTCACAGACTGTAAAACCTGGCGGAAAGGTCTGGTTGTTCGTCCACCTCCAGAGTGTGAATTTTTGCCAGAATCTGAGCGTTGCGTGGGCATCTGTTTCACAGCTCTGGCTTTTTTGTACGCAGACTATTGGTTCCTTGCCTCTTGGGCTGACGCATTCGGACTTCGAAGGATGACCTCAGTTAGTCGACTCCTACGACATTCATGTTGTGGAGGCATTGAGGCTATTCTAGTTTTCCCCCGAAAACCGAGCGCCTGAAACCCACACAGGGATGAGAAAGATAATGAGGATGATGATGATAATGTCATGGTAATGATGTTCTTTAACATCAAGGATATCATTTACACACAGTCCGAAAGTTGTGCTTTAGTTTGAAACATATTTAAATAAAAACACAACGCATCACTGGTAAAAATGTTTTACAATTTTACATTAGCTTAACGTTTCTCATTAGCGTAAAAAATAACACTGCACACATCGACTTCCACCCGAAGTGTTTGCTAACGCAAAATCAGGCGAAACTGACAATCAATATTATAATTCAATTTTGATAGTTAAATAGCACAGGGTTAAATTGTTCGCAAAAACAATAAAATGACTTGTGTCAATACAACAGTATGCTATTGTCACCAACGACTACTTTGGGTAGTTTTACGCCATCTTGTCTGACCTCATCAGATCGTGTGATGTGTTTGTACTGATGTTGTGTTTCTTACAGTTAAAATGTAAAAGTGATGAACTCCCGTCCGTCGTGTTATCTAAACACGTCCACGTATTTGAGTTTATTAAAACTATAACACGGATTGAGTCATTGACACACAAAGACAATGAACAGCTAATGAATCCTCCCATGAGCGCATTACAATCGGGCGTTGAGTGGGGGGAAAAGGGGGGGGGGGGGATAGCTGGGACGAAGACCAACATTAAAACCTTTAGGAGAAATGTTAGCTTAGTGATAAGGCTGGGAGAAATTGAACTTTGGGGCGTGACATTCAGGGATAACTGAGACGAGCAAGGTGCGAGAACAAGAGCTTTCAACAACCAGTTCTATTGATATTTTCTGCACAAACACGGAGCACTCACGGGCGGCAGCAGATATCACTGAGTTATTGCTTCAACCACCAGGGGCGTCTCCCCAAAGAAAGCATTAGCGCGTGGGGGCACTCAGTACCCTTGTAATATCCTTATTTAGGTGCTCAATACTAAATATTGTAATGGGAAGGGGAAAAAAAACATGTAAATACAAATAAGTTTAAACTTATTTCTCTTTCCTCTTCTTCTGGGCCACGGAACCCACAGGGGACTTTCAATTATTCACAAATGTTTAAACAAACAAAACAAACAAGTACGTATTATATATATATATATATATATATATATATATATATATATATATATATATATATATATATATATATATATATATAGAGAGAGAGAGAGAGAGAGAGAGAGAGAGAGAGAGAGAGAGAGCATCTATACATGGTTATGACGGCCACTTAGCTGCCTTGCAAATTTTAGAGTAGATTCGGTCTGACCCCCCCCCCCCCCCAAACCCCACCCCACCCCATACCCCCACGACAGAAACAATGTTGATGAATACATGCCAAGGACCCTTTTCCACCCCTCTAGGCGTATTGGGCATATAGGGCTAGACCTATATTTTTATAGACAAATCAGCATTTGGTTAGTGATGTGGTCAACATCACGCCGGCCGCCTGTACTTCCCAGGATTGCACCTGATACCCACTCAAGGCTCAAGATCATTTTTGAAGAAAGAAAAAACAGTCTGCCTATGTCACTACCAGAACCCACAACCTTCCGATCCCGCAGGTGAGCGTCTAGCCACTACACTTCGGCGACTCCGAATTATCGGGAAGGGAAACTATAAAAATTATTGCCGCCTCCCCCCTCCCCCCCCCCCCCCTAGAATACATCTTGGGGCTAGAGAGGCTCAATGTGACTGTGGCTGTGCTCCCATGAACCCTCGCGACTGTCTAAGACTGGTTGAAAATTCACACAAACACTCACACACACACACTCAAGACGTCTACTGAATTATGGCTGCATTGGTAATTCCCGGAAACTTTCACACGACTGTCGTGTCAAACAGTTCATTGTCGCAGTTTGATGTTGTCTTGTCTGGCGAAATCAAAACACGGAGCGGGAGTTTTAATCGTTGTCAGAATTAACGTCACATTACTCGGTTTGGTTGTGTTTGTGTTGGAAATGTCGCATCAGGATTGTGTGTATTTGTGGCAACTGCACTAAGAATCTTATTTTGTACGCTATGATACAAGAGGAGACACAAAGAAAGACAAACAGAACAAAAAATGAAGTAAATAAAGAAAGATAATCTGAAAACACGGAAATAGGTCAATGAGGAAAGGCATAAAAGAATGGAAGACAGAAAAGCAATGAGAAATACTAGAAATAGGCGAAAGACGTAAAATAAAATGGATGAAAAGAATTTAAGGATATAAAATTATTGTGAAAGACAGAGGGTAAACGTACATAGATGGAAGAAACGAGGAAAAAAAAAACATACCTTGAAAAGACAGACAAGAAAAGAACGAAAGAAAGAACACACTTGGAAGTAGTATGATATACTGATTGATGATTGATTCGCTGATAATTTAACTGAACCACCATCTCCAGAGCATTGCGGAAATATTCCTTATGGCTTCAGTCTATTTTAATGTTACTAAAAGCGTTTTTATCTCAGTGCATGAATCTCATAGCCTCGGTGTTTGTTGCTCTCAAAAATTTGTTAACTTGTTATTAGTCAACAGAAACGACTCCATAAAGCCACGTGTAATCTCTTAAGGGCTCAGTCTCCATTAGGGCTGTACCGAATAGTGATTTTCACTATTCGGCCGAATACAATAGCTGGACCAACTATTCCGCCGAAAGCGAATACGAATACGAATAGTGAATCATCATCATCAGGTGCTTTGCCGACTGGCAAGGGCGATTATGCCTCGCCACAATTTGCG